CTCGCTTGAGCCCAGGAGTTAGAGGTTGCTGTGAGCGTGATGCCATGGCACTCTACCCAGAGGAATAGCTTGAGGCTCCGTCTCAAAAAAAAAAAAGGGCATAATGTAAGCTTGCATGCAGAAATCCTAGAATCACCAAAAAGATACAATCTCTGCTCCCACCCATATAAGACAAGACAGCGCAGCAGTTCTCAACCTGTGGGTTTCAACCCCAGGAACTGTATTAAAGGGCTGCGGCATTAGGAAGGTTGAGGACCACTGCATTAGCCAATCACCTCCATTTACTAAGTGTGAGCTGCTGAATACTCACAATTTAGTGTTCGCTTACAACAGTGTACATTATTCAAGTGCCAAAAGTGCTGTAAATGCATGTAAAAGGGGACCTGACCTACATGGGGTGAGGAGGTTCAAGGAAAAGATTTGAGCTGCATTCTGAAGGCTGAACTAGGTGAAAGGGGTAGAGATACATCTTTGTAAAGACTGTGGGGGTACTTTTTTGAGGAACTGCAAGGTAGCCAAGTGATGGCAGAGAGTCTTGGACAGGCAAGTCTCTGTCATGAGACGAAGATGCTGGAGCCATGTAGAGAATTTGTATTTTATGCTTAGAGCAGCAGTAGCTTCCCAAGGGTTACAATCAAATATATATTTTTTTTTAGAGACAGAGTCTTACTCTGTCGCCCTCCGTAGAGTACAGTGGCACCACAGCTCACAACAACCTCCTGCTCTTAGACTTAGGTGATTCTCTTGCCTCAGCCTCCTAAGTAGCTTGGACTATAGGCGCCTGCCACAACACCTGGCCATTTTTTTGTTGCAATTTGGCCCAGGCAGGGGCTGGGTTCGAACCCACCACCTTCGGTATATGGGGACCACGCCCCACTCACTGGGTCACAGGCACCACCCAAATATGTACTTTTAAGAGACCTCTGAGGCTGCTATGTGGTGAACAGATTGGAGGCAAAGACACCAGTTAGGAAATTACTGCAGACATCCAAAACAGAAGGGCAAGATCTGAGCAACCCTAGGCTTTAAGGACAATAATATTAGCTGACATTTGAGCACCTGCAGTGCTCAGCATTGTGTTAAGGGCTATATGTGTACTAATATATTTAATTCTCGCACCAACCCTATGTGAATACTGAGGCAGAACTTGCTTCTCCAAAAGTCACCCAAATAGATGGACCTATATTCATGTCTGGCTCTGACAGTCCCAGTGGGCTCTGAGCAAATCACCTTGTTTCTCAAAGTCTGTTTTTCTCTTTTGTGAAGTGGGGTTAACGTGCAAGGTTTTTAATCTTATTCCCTGGGTCTCCCAGACATCCACAAACGCTGGGCCCTGGTGTGGCTGGCCTGCCTACTCGTTGCAGCTGTGCTTTTCCTTCTCCTCCTTCTCAAAAAGGAGCACGTGAAAGGTGAGTACTTTCTGGCTCCCTTATTCCCCAGGGACAGGACAAGAGTGGGCCTGAGGGTTCTCCGAGGGAAGGCGGTGGCCAAACTCATAGGCCGCCTCTGCTCCTCTCCCCTAACAGGGTGGCTGAGGCTCCTGAAGCAGGACGTCCGCTCGGGGGGTGAGTGGGAGCCAGGCTGGGGCGGGGCCGCCCCCAAAGGGCTGGGCCTCTGGCTACTTCACCTCTTCTCTTCCTTTGTTCTCTCCGGCAGCGACCACCAGGGGCCGCGCGGCTTTGCTCCTCTACTCCGCTGATGATGAGGACTTCGAGCGCCTAGTGGGCGTCCTGGCGTCGGCCCTGTGCCAGTTGCCGCTGCGCGTGGCCGTGGACTTGTGGAGCCGTCGTGAACTGAGCGCGCAGGGACCCCTTGCCTGGTTCCACGCTCAGCGGCTCCAGACCCTGCAGGAGGGAGGCGTGGTAGTCCTGCTCTTCTCGCCTGGGGCCGTGGCGCTGTGCAGCGAGTGGCTGCAGGACCAGGCGGCGGCGCCGCGGGAGCACGGCCCGCACGATTCCTTCGCCTCGTCGCTCAGCTGCGTGCTGCCCGACTTCTTGCAGGGCCGGGCACCAGGCCGCTACGTGGGGGCTTGCTTCGACAGACTGCTCCACCCGGATGCCGTGCCCGCCCTTTTCCGCACCGTACCGGTCTTCTCACTGCCCTCACAGCTGCCAGACTTCCTGGGGGCCCTGGAGGGGTCCTGCGCCCGCCACCCTAGGCGGCTAGAGGAGAGGGCGGAGCGGGTGTCGCGGGCTCTTCTGCAAGCCCTAGACGGCTGCTTCCAAGCGTCGGGGGACCCTGGGCCGAGATGCGCGATAGAACCTGGGACGGGGGACCGGACTTGAATAAAGGCAGATGCTATTTTTTCTATCCGTGTTGCCCGCACGTACTTTTGCAGCGACGCGGCTGGGCTGTCAAGCCGTATGCCTGAACCCGGCGGCCCTTTAAAACCCAGACAGGTGCAGCTCGGCACCGCCTCTAGTTGGCTAGTGTGGGGTGACGCAATGGCACTTGGCCCGTTGCTATTGGCTGGACGGCCGGCCCCGCCCCTCTGACTGCGGCGCCTGGCGAGGTTGTACGTTTTACGCAGGCGGCGGCGGCGGCGGTGGTGGCGGTGGCGTTGAGAAGACTGAGGCCGTGGCGCCCGCGGGCAGGGTCGGTCGTTTCCTTTCCGTGGTCTACGCGGGTCTGGATCTCTCCCTGCCATTCCATGGGCTGTGCCTTTGCCCGCCTGCGAGGCCCTGAGCCTGACCTATTATCTTCACATCCGGATCCGGCTTCCGGACACCTTCCCCAAGACCGCCCATCCAGCCTCCTTTCCCACAGTACTTGGAGTCTGACCTCTTGTCCCCAAGTCTGCTGATCAGGCCCTTAATCTTTATTCAGACCATAAAACAGTGGGCTGACTCTTACCCACTTGCCAGAGATCCAGGTCACCTCGCCCACAATAACGGGGATAACTCATGTCCTTCCTTGAATTGCAGATTAGACTCCTTTCCCACCTATCCACCTTGCTCCTTCAGTACCCCAGTTTGGCCTTTACTCATAATAACGCAGATCTGGGCTCCCAGCTCTGGCAACCCAGAACTGACCCTTTCCCTTTCTCACCTAAGGTCTGGCTCCTTCAGTGAATCCTCCTCACACCTTCTATCTGCAGGTCCCCAGCCGGGAAAAGATGGCTCCACGGCCCCCTAGGGGTCTGGTTTCAGCTCTGCTCTGGGGCCTGAGCCTCTTTCTTAGCCTCCCAGGCCCCATCTGGCTCCAACCCTCTCCACCTCCCCAGTCCTCTCCCCCGTCTGAGCTCCATCCATGCCATACCTGCCGAGCACTAGTGGAGAGCTTCAATAAGGTGGGTGCACCAGCAGCCTCGTGGAGGGGGGCCCAGCTACTATAGCACATGGTTGAGTATGAGGAACTCTGGAATGCAAATCTGCATAGATGCAAGTCCCTCTTGGTAGGGACTGTATGACTTTAGGCAGTTTGCCTCCCTTTCCTCAGTTTCCTGGTCAGTAAAATAGTGAACTGTGAGCATGTGCCAGGCACTATATTACTAATTTTCTCTATTTTCAGGGCCTGGAGAGAACCATTCGGGACAACTTTGGAGGTGGAAACACTGCCTGGGAGGAAGAGAAGTTGTCCAAATACAAAGACAGGTATGGGGCTGGTTAATGGGGAGTGTTATATACCTCACTTCCCAACCTCTGGTCTACTGGTGTGGGATAGCTGGGGAATCTTGGGGAGCACTTACTCAACAAGTATCACAGAACACTTGGGGTACAACAGTAAACAAGGGAAGCAAATCCCATCTTCCTAGAGCTTACATCTTGGTAGAAGAGAAGCAGTGAATAAGTAAATGACTATTTTGTCAGGTGAAGAACAAACAGTAAAGCAAGGTGGACTGCAGAACGCCAGGAGGCAGGGTATTCAAGGTGTGACATTTGAACAAAGACCTGAAGTGAAGAAACAAGCTCTGTGACAGCTGGGGAAGGGATCTGAGCAGAGGATAGGACTGAGCTTGGTGTACTTGAGAAGTGGAACGAACAACAAGGAGGGTAGAAGGTGAAGGCAGAGGTCTAAGCCTTGAAACCATTAAAAGGTTGTGAGCAGAAAAAGTGATGTGGGCTCAGCGCCTATGGCACAGTGGTTATGGCGCCAGCCACATGCATTGAGATTGGCAGGTTTGAACCTGGCCCGGACCAGCTAACCAAGACAACTTCAACAAAAATAGCCGCGTGTTGT